ATTGTTTAGGTTCTCCTCTAGGTTATTGGTTTTCACCTTCATTAATTAAAAACAAATGTCGTACGATCGAAAAAAAACGGCGTCGTCAAAGACTACTGGAGAATGGCAATCGATGATAATTTTGACGAGGCCAATCTCTAGACGTACAATTACGTACTTTACTTATTAAGTAACGTACAAGTACAAAATTCCTTAATACCCGACACTGGTGCGGTCAATACCTGAGAATATCTTTATTACCTATTGGTATACGTTGGTTATTGTTCTCGTTGGTCCCATTTTTTGCCATGTCACACTTCACACTGTACACAACAAAATGCATTTATAATGAGGGTCTTGTGCTATCAAGCATTAAGAAATAGAGACTATAATAGAAAATAGTAATTCAAAATTCATTTGGGATTCAATCATTGTCCGCTATATTCAAAAAAGTATTTTGCCTAATTCCTTTATTATAAAGATCCTTATGTTAAACCATTTATTTCAGATTGAATGTATAGCAACTGATGGGGTACATTTAGCCAGCGTGTGTTTAGGCGGTCAACTGAAAATCTGGGACAACAGTACGGGAGAACTAGTTAACGTCATAGACCGCAAATCCTATTTCATAGACGAAAGCGACAAATTCGTCAACGAATGCGACGATCCGTCCGATTACGAGTCAGCATCCCCTCCATCAACTGATGACGTTTTCCCCAAACTCACCAACAGGATAAACACCGACTTCTCCAGCTTCAAACCTAGAACGTCAGATGACGCGTTCGACGCGCGTTTCGAGTTCTACAGGGTGTTTAAGTTTCATTATAGTAATTCCAAGTCCAACGAGGCAGCTGCTGGACAGTCCAGCTCTAGTAGGCAAAGACAGATCAGCCGGCAGGATAGCAACAAGTCGAATAATTCCAGTAGGAAAACCAGCGACTGTGGCAGTGCGAATAGCAAGCTGTCTTCGGTGTGGTGTATGGATTATGTGGATAATTTAATTATTATTGGTTGTGCGGATGGTAGGCTTGAGTTGTGGGAGGCTACCAGTACTAAAGTTAAGGTAAAGGTTTCTATAATAACTATAATAGTGTGAATCAAAACTATGTATGTAGTTTATATTAAGTATATTAAGGTATAAAAATGTTGACATTTAATTTCAGTGTATATTTGAAGATGGTAACCAATCAGGAGTTACCAACGTGAAGATAGTGGGTTCGAGAATTATCGCAGCTAGATTTGTGCGTGGTTCTTTAGATCTCCTTCAATTGCAAACATTCAACCAGGGCAGGCCTGTCGATTGGAATTTTACCTGTGCTTACAGAAGGACGCATATCCGCACAGGATCGATGGGATCGATTTCAGAAAGAGATATAAAGAATCAGGTAAAATAATTTAGATTTTAACAAAAGTGTACAATTTTTTTAATTTTTTTTGAAAAATGTAAAATCAATTATATTTTTTATATGTTCCTGTACATTTATGAATCTTCGTAAACAGACTAAAATAAAATTCTGACCTATTTTCTCCTTTCACTTTTTTCAGCATTTTGCTACCTATAGGAAAAACAATAAAATGCACGTCATAAAAATATAGACAAATGCACGTTTAATGTTGCCACGGTTACTTTTAAATTATATAATAATTAATAAATTATTCTGAAAATTAATTAAAAAATATAATTTTTGAATTAATTTAACTAATAATAATTTAATTCTTAATAATCGGTAATTCTTAAAAAAGTAAAAATAAAAAAAAGACACTATATTCTTAATTTTGTCACGTGACTATCACCATAAAGCCTTTTTTATCGATTTTTCTATAATTTGTGGTCACAAAAATAATATTACGTCATGTGATGTGACATCTGTCGCATAATTGTGACAGTTGTCGAATGTCACAATGATTTTTTTTTTGTTATTCCTTTTGGAATAACTAACTTTTTTCTAGAGAACTATTTTCGGCGGATAAAAGTAGAATCGTTCTAGTTTGACTTTTCGTTTTAGGGGGCGCTAGTTTTGTACAAATTGGCAAGAAATAGAGTACCTACTGATCTGTATTTTTTATTATCTATGACTCATAGATAAAGGAACTAAATTTAGATTGGAATGCTCGGCTTCCCGGTAAAGCGTATAATTGTTTTGAGTCCCATACGTTGTACGGCGCTGCTATAGCGGTTGGTAAAAAAACCGCAAACGGTCAGAAGCTTCAAAAATTATATAATCTTTCAAAATTTAAACCGCCTTCATTGAAAAAATACCGAAAAGTGAAGGTTCCTATATACAGGTTATTAATTTGTTTATTACTCGCGGCAAGAGCTTTATGGTTGAAATATAGCAACCTCGGCCCGCTCGTCGAGAGACGATGCGACGAGACGAGTCGGCAGCTTGGTACTCATTTGGAATGTAGGCAGTGTTGCCATTCTGTAACCCCAATAAGTAACAGTCCAGTTAACAATCTGTATATTGAAATTAATAATAATTATAAAATTGAAAAAATACCGAAAAGTGTTTAAACCGTCTATTTTCAAAGTAATTATTGCTATCTTGCGAGTTTAATTTAAATTTGCAGGTGTTATGTCAATTATCACGGGTTAAACCCGTGATAATTGTGAAAAAGTGGCATTAAAAACTTAAAAAGCTGTGTGAACTGTGAACTGCAAAAACCATCGTGGATCGTGGCATAACGTTGATTTTCATACATGTCCGTATATAAAATAAAGTTTCTTATATGCAAGACACTGTATTTTATTTAAAAAAATAAAAGAAAATAATAATAAATATGAATAAATAATATTTGGCGACGTAATTCCAGAAAAAGCCGAACCGCTCCGAAATTATCAAAAGCTTTGGGTCGCGACCGTTGCAAGAATAGCGCCAAATAGTATTTACATTGTCCTTATGGACACTTTCCAATCTAAACTTGTTTCATTTATCTCTGCTATGACTCTCTGTTTCAATGGCGATATTACCTAATTCTATTCGATATTTATTTCAGAACGATTCCGAGGAAGACTTGAAGTGCTTCAAGCTACTGAGCGTAAAGGCACATCAACAGCCTATAACGTGCCTCGATTGCGAAGGAGGGAGAATAGTGACTGGCAGCCAGGATCACACCCTGAAAGTGTACAGGGTGGACAATGGCGACCCCGTGTACACGTTGCACGGTCACTGCGGCCCTATCACCTGTCTGTTTATCGATAGGGTGTGTCCGGCAACGGCCGGAAGCGGATCGCAAGACGGCATGTTATGTGTTTGGGACCTACTTTCAGGTACGTAGAAAATAATTTTATTTCTTGCTGAATTAATATAAGCTTATGTTAACGGGAATTAAGATGCCGTAATTCCCTCTACCTTTTATAATACCAGCAGTTATTTTAAAATATTTCTTCAAATATAGCAACGAAAAATAATATCGCTTTTACAATATTTCAGTTTTTATTTACCGAATATATTCGGAAGTATTTGTATTTTTTTAAATTTTAAATTATCAAAGTTTACTATAATTTTAACCTCTTTCTTAACATTTCCGAGATCCCAATGTGACCTTCGAATTTGGGACATCCTGTATATTTATCTCTTTTATATTGCCCCATCTACACTTAAAGTTTTACCTGTCAGTCTTATCTGTTCAGTCCATGTTCAGTCAAAACGTTTTAAGTAGACTATACTGCGGCCTTCCCATCTAAGCTGTGAGAGGATTTATGTTCCAGTACTGAAGGAGAGAATATCGAATTGGTATGGTTTGAGAACATAAGTTCTTCTTTGTTTAGGAGATAGAAGTAATACGCTCAACAAAACTGTCATTCTACCTGCACTGAAAAAATATAAGTAATATAATAGCTCTAAAAGCCTAAAAGGCTCATGGCTTGATTGGTTATCTTTCTCCATTTGTTTCTATCTTTCGCCTTTATTCTCCGCCCATCCACTCTTATCCTTCTCAAGTCCTCTTCTACATCCTTTTTCTATCTGTTGCTCGGTCTACCCCTCCTTCTCTTTTCGCAGGTAAAACTTCCAATGTATACATTAGTTTTTAATCCATCTTACCTGACAGGTAATACGATATGCGCAGAGGGGGCTTAAATCGTTATTTACTTTCCGTTTTAGGTATTAAACTTCTTTTTTTCAGGGACGTGTATGTACAGCATCCAAGCGCACGACGGCTGCATCATTTCCATAACTTATTCGGCGAGCTACGTAATCTCACTAGGAATAGACGAGAGGCTGTGCGTTTGGGAACGGTTCCAGGGCCACATCCTCAACACCATATTGGTGGGCCAGGTCTTCTCCAATCACGTGCTAATGCTGGCCCCACACTTGGCGGCCACCGGCAGAAACGGTGGCTTGATCATATGGGACGTGCGCAACGGTGAATGCGTCAGAAACATTACGTTGGGTAGGGATCCTTTTGTGTTTATTAATCAACTGATTCTGTTAAGGGACGCGGTTTTGTGCGACTATGGAAAGCAGCTGAGAATCGTGCGGTTTCCATTGATTACTCATAAGTTTGATTAGGATTGTGACAAATGACTTACGGAGAAACTTTATTCTTTAGGAGTTATTTATTTTATTCATTAAATAAGAATACCAAGGAAGGAGCGTAATTGAGATCCACAGATCTTTGTTCTGTGGAACAGTCCAGGGTATCCTCAGCATGGAAAAATGACAACTGTCACTGTCATGTATTTACTCATTCGACAGTGTATATATTTACTATAGTGTGCCCCTTGAGTTTGTCCTACCGGGCATTTCCTGACAGGTCATTTTTGGATGTCGTCTGTCGAAATATTCCCTACTGATAAAAGAAAGTGTTGTCAATGCATGAATATGAAAATTGTGTTAAACACCTACCTTAGTCTTTTTATTCAATGATTTTGTTATCGCACCTGTACCAAATACTTAAAAGAAACTAATGTGTTTTTCTTTGTTACTTTTATTAATTATTAATATTTATACATCTGTAAATAGTGGTAGCTGCGAGCGCGTTGAAAATTGTAAATTAGTGCTGTAAAACATTATTTCTAACGTATTAAATTGTTTGGTAAAGTTCTTAAAGTGAACAAAATAATTGTGCCTTTTACATGTCTAGAAGACGTTAAATAATTGTTTTTATCTTTTAATCACTGTTTTTAATTTAAGATTAATTTATTTTCAAAATATTTTGTAATAATAACGCTTATTTTATTATGTATGTTAATTAGTTTAGTATTTTGTATAACATATTAAATAAAACTATTTTAATTAAAAAATATATATTGATTTTTTCTCAAACTAGTAATTCCATTAATTCCTGCCAGGGAATATTCCTGCAGAAATAATTAAAATTCCTGTAACAAAGTAAAATCACCGACACGCCTATGGCATTACTTTTTTTGCTTTAAAAAAATACCATAACAAATACCCCCAGAAAAAATAGTCTAAATCCAGTCAAATCAAACAAAAAATATTTTTTTCACTTTTGGTTTGGTCAGGGATGAGTGTGTAATAAAAGAATTTTTTACACAATGTAATATTTACACGTAACAATAAATCCGAATCATATATAAATAAATATTGTATATGATTAAAGAATTTATTTATTATTTATTCCAAACTGTTTGTCGTGTAGGTGACTATTGGACAACATTATGAAAAGAAGAGAAATGTAATTTTCTAACCATCGACCGTATAGCCCTGGCAGCTTAGGCCGTAAAACTAATAAAAAAAGAAGAATTTTCTGACTTAACCCTATAATTATTTTTAGTTTAAAAATGTTTTTAATAAATAAAAGTAATTATTTTACTCGATTATTGAATAGAACTCTAAACAGATCTATTAAGAGATATAAGAGTTCTAAACCAGGCATAATTTTGGGTATAGAAACTTCCTGCGACGATACTGGTTGCGGTATTGTCGATACCGAAGGGAAAATACTTGGAGAAGCTTTACATTCTCAACATTTAACTCATTTACGGTAAATCTGATGTAGAGGTGTTATTACTGAGAATAATTACAAACTATTTATATAGAAATGGTGGTATTATACCTCCTTTGGCTGAATCTTTACATAGACATACCATAGAAAAAGTAGTTCAGGATGCTCTAGACGCAGCTAATTTATCAATAAATCAAATAGATGCTATAGCAGCAACTGTTAGACCTGGTAATATCACCTTTATGTAATATCGGATTAAATAAGTAAAGCTTTATCTTTACAGGATTGCCCCTATCTTTACTTATTGGGACAAAATATGGAAAATATCTCTGTAAAAAGTATAGTAAACCGTTTATTCCAATACATCATATGGAAGCCCATGCTTTAACAGCAAGAATGTTTGATAGGAGTATAGAATTTCCATTTTTAGTTTTACTAATTAGTGGTGGTCATTGTCTTTTATCAGTAGTTGAAAATGTGGATAGTTTTCTGTTATTAGGGGAGAGTATAGACGATGCTCCAGGAGAAGCTTTTGACAAAGTAAATTAAAATAATAAACCAATATAGGTATATAATGATGATTTTTAGATATCAAGAAGGTTGAAACTTACTAACCTACCTGAATACTCAACCCTTTCTGGGGGACAAGCAATAGAGTTAGCAGCATCTCAAGCAACTAATCCTTTACAATTTAGATTTAACATTCCGATGATAAAATATAAAGATTGCAATTTTAGTTTTTCTGGTGTAAAAAATGTTTGTCTACACCATCTCTTTAGAGAAGAAAGAAAATATGGTAAAGTGTTAAAAAATATAAAGTTTTTAATCTAAATCAATTTTATATTTACAGATTTACCACCTGATGCTGTTCTACCTGATTACAAAAATCTATGTGCATCGTTTCTTTTGGTTACTACCAGACATTTATGTCACAGAGTACAAAGAGGGATAGAATACGTAGCTAAAAAGAATCTTATTCCTCCTGATAAACAAACTCTGGTAATTTATATACAACAATATAATTTAAGAAAATAATACATTCTATATATTTTTAAGGTTGTCTCAGGTGGTGTAGCATGTAATAATTTTATAGCTGAAGCACTGAAAATTGTATGCGATAATTTGAATTATAAATTAGTTAGGCCACCCCCAAAATTATGTACAGACAATGGTATTATGATTGCTTGGAATGGAGTAGAAAGGTAAATCTTTTTTGTAAAGTATGTTTGCATGTCAACTACATTTTAAATTATAGGTGGAAGGCTGGCATAGGCATTTATACTGAATTTGACAACATTGAAATAGAAAAATCTTCTCCTTTGGGAAAAAGATTAATAGAAGATGTTGTTAATGAAAATATAAGTTGTAACTGGGTGAGACTTTCTAAATTATATAAATCAAAATTAAATATAGACGAAGAAGAAAATGTTTTAATAAAAAATTAAATAGATTTTATTATTATAAATAAAAAATAGAATATATACAAGTTTTATTTTTTCAAATTAACTTAGGCCCTCTTTCCTTAAGTGGTTTGGTAACTTCTCCATATAAATCATAACTTTCGTTATTTTCTAACTGTTCATTTTCACTTACTACATCTAACAAAGTCCTTAACTTATTCTTAACAAGCTCAATATCACTTCGATCTTCTTTAGCTGATATTGGGATTATGTGTGAGAATGTTAATAACCTAGAGGGTCTCATATTTTCTTCATATTGGGATATGAAATCTAAAATATGGGACTTTAAGAATATAATTAATAATGAAAAAATAGATACTGACTATTTAATTCTTTTAATTGCCCTTTAATGTTGTTAAACAAATGTTCTGCACCCTCAGAATCCATCTTATTAATTAATAACATAGAAGGTTTATCTAGGAGTTCCTCATTATACAATTCCAATTCCTAAAGATATTAATAACTGACAATAGTCTGTATAAAATTTAATTCCAACATACCTTTGTTAAGAGCATTATGGTTTCTAAACAACTTCTATGTGGATACTGATGATTTAACTGAAAACCATTTATATCAACAATCATAAGCAGTAATTTTGTCCTTTCTACGTGTTTTAAAAACTCATGTCCCATGCCTCTGTTTCTATAAGCTCCCTCAATTAAACCAGGCAAATCTGCTATCGATATTTGCCTAAGATCATTATAATTTATGACACCAAGATTTGGTTTTATTGTAGTAACTGATAAAAAAATATTAAGAATTAAAAATCAAAAATAAATATGTAAGTATAAGCATACATGGATAACTTGCAATTTTAGGTTTGGCATCTGAAATAGCTTTTAATAGTGTACTCTTTCCAGCATTAGGAAATCCCACTAAACCAACATCAGCAATTAATTTAAGATCCAGTCTAATGTGATACACCTGACCTCTGGTTCCTAAGAAACCATTTTTTGCATGTCCTCCTGTTCCACCTTTGGCAATAACTAACTTTTCACCTTCTTGATTTAATTCACCTACAAATAACAATTATTCTAATACCAGTGATATAGTAAGAAAGCCTTAATTATACCTAATTTCTTTCCAAGTTCTGTGTATACAGTAACACCGACAGGCACATCAAATGTTACGTCTTCTCCTGGTGGTCCAAGGATAAAGTTATGTGAAGCGTGTTTTCCTGGTTTGGCCAGAAATCTTTTTGAGACATTGGATTTGAAAACTGTATCTAAAGTGATACCCTCTTTGGCTTCTACAATAACGTCGCCACCTTTTCCGCCGGCCCCTCCAAATCTAACAATTAAAAATTAACAAAATATAAACAATTTTCTAAAAAAAAATACTACTTGGGAAGCCCATTTCCACCGGCACCTCCGGACACGAAAATGCGTAGAGAATCTCTAAAGCCTTCTTTCAAATATCTTCTTGTACGTTTCTTTATTTTTTCGAGTATTATACGAGTTAAATATACCATTTTTGAATCGAATTTGTTGATTTTATTCTCATTATAAAAAAATAAAAATTGAGGTTTTGGGTTTGAGGTTACAGAAGCAGAAAATATTTACTTAGACCACAGATTACGCAAATAACTCCTATATTTTCTAATTCAGTATTTCGATTATATAAATATAGCTATAAACACATAAACCGTACTTCATGATCAAGCTACTAGTCAACAGATGGCGCCAAAGTCCCGAGTATTTTTATATTTTCGAATTGTCGCTCACGTTTATAATGGGATTTTTTAAAATATTTCATTTAAGGACTTCTTGTAAGCTAGCTGACTCAAAATTTTATAAGTTATAAGATTGAAAATTCGAGGCCGGTTTATCTTTTACCAATTTTATCAGTAATCTCGGCATTACTCATGAAAACTGAAACAGGTTATGGATTATCCTAAAAGGCGGAACTTTCATTAACGTATCCGCCCAGAGATTAATACAGAGGTGGGTTTATCTCTACGTATTGGCGTATTCGGTGTACTCACTAACGTGTGGCTATTTTAGCTGCAACGAATTAATTACTGCACAGTAACATCACTGAGAAATACGGGTAGGAATAAAAGACGGTCAATACGAATTATCAACTTGTACCTCTAGACTAGTAATAGATTCTTAAAATTATTGAAAGATCTAAATTTTATATTTAGAGATATATGTCTGTATTTTTATATATTGCAAATTGTTGTTGCTAAAAATGGAGAAAATATACCTACACCATTTAAAAATCATCTTATATAAACCTACCTTATATGTAATAAACTATTTTTTGGGCTTAAAAAAGCAAGTAGCTTTGACAGTTTTCGATATTTGCACCTTTTTGCAAAAAAAAACTCAACAGATACTGTAATTTACAAGTGTGTTTTTATTGCGATATTGTCAAGAGTAATAAACCATGACTAATCGTGACTTTTGGAATTTTATTGATTATGGAATAAATCTTTTGTCAATTTTGCTAAATTTCAGTGCTATATACCTGTGCTACTTACTTATTTCAAGTATTTAATAGACGTATCAATAATAAACAAAACTAATAAGAGTTATTATAAAATACAATTGCCCGATCGAAAATTTACAATGAAAAACGTTCTATGTTTACGTTAATAATCACGTATGCCTTGATGCCCTAATCCAGTAGCGTCCCATATCGTAACATTGTAAAATCAATATATTTTACAATTTTTAAACAGCCAATATCATTGGCTGTTCTTTAAAAAGTGTTTGTTAAAAAATTATTTATCCCTGGAATATTGAAAAACCTAAAATAAAAAATATAATATTGCCAAAGTCATTCTATAGTATTAAATAGGAGAATATAAATTATTTTGACAGATGGATACCTATCTAAAAATTACAGAAAAAAAAACAATACAGGTACTTTTAAATTAAAACAACAAACAGCTACTGTGTTAGGTACTGAAATATTTTTTATCGAAATAATTTCTTCGCTCAAAGAGAAAAATATATTTTTGTTTGTAAAACTCTAATTTTAATTTCTGAAGAATTTTTTCTTGCAATGGCATCTTTCTTACTAGCACTGTCGTGATGATAAATATATAATTTCACCAAAAAATATGTTTTTGACAATTTTCTTGATCAAAATAGGTCCTAGATAAATTTTAAAAATCAACTCAAGGTTTCATATTGATACAAAATATTATTATCAAATCGGGAAGTTGTAGACAACACACTATATTCAAAATGTCGACACGTGTCGAACCTTATAGATATGTTTTATAAAAACTGTAACAAACAAAATGTGACGGATAGGACAAAATAAAATAATTAGTTTAAAATGAGATCAATTTATGTTTATTTGGATCTAATTTTGTTGTACTATAGTGTTGGCAAGTTTGTAATATACAGTTATCTGATAAGTATCGAAGTACGCATATCAGGTAACAGTCAATTTTACATAAGTGAATAGATATAATATAATAAGGAAGCTTTTTAGGTGCTTTATGATAATTTTATAGCTGACCATGCTCCTTATTTTTTTCACTCAATATCTATAAAATATTTGGATTGTGCAAGTTCTCCCGTGGGAACAATTTGTCCTTTATTCTATTTTTTTGCAAAATCATTAATAAGCCATTCATCGATTTCATATTCGCATGTAGCATACTATTCATGTTAAAGTAATTTTATTCTAACTGCAACTGAAGCGTTGTTTTTGTGTATATTTTGTGTTGCTGCATCTATTTTTGATATTTACAGAAGGGTAAGACATAAAAATATCCTAAGTCCTTTACAATAATATACCTAGTTCTCACATAAATTTATGTAATTTTTTGAAAACATCTGTGTTATAATTTCTTTTCTAAAAAATCGATTGGCAGCGTTGACATCAGTCCTGGATATCATAAGGGATGGCGATGGCCAAGGGTCTTTGTGAGGCTATTACAAATGATTAGGGAGATATTATAAAATGATCAGAATGGTAATAATACGCTGAAGAAAGATAAGTATCAGTTTTCTTCATTCTAAACGAATCAGAGAGCAGAACACCAATCCGCAGGTAACAAACCTTTTGAGCCTTTTATTTTATAAAGGTGCTACAGGTTTGGTTTGGTTTGGTTTGGATCGTTTTGGAAGTTTGGTTTGGCATGATTCGTCTATATAGAACGAGTATAGACGTTAGCCATCTTTTTGTTTCACATCATTTAAAAATGCCTTCCTATTCGGAATATATTTAAATTTTTATATTAATTACAAAATTATTTATTTTTATTAATACAAAAAAAAATTCTCACAACCTCAATGAGTGCGCGGAGACGGCAACCATTCCTGCAATAAACTTTGGTACGACTGATATCGGAGATGGAGAACTAACCTCTGTAAAACCGTCTCAGATACTGGCTTTTTGAAAGCCCTGAGACTGTATGATAACTTTTAACTCAAGAAAGGGAAAACAGCCACAATAGGCTCGGTGCATTCTCCGCCGGTGCTGCCACCATCGGAGAATATTGTAAACAACTAGTACTTACAAATACACGGGTTTAAATAGCGGGTATACGAAAAATTTATTATTTAATTATTCTAAAAGTGTTAGGTAGTATAATTTGTGAAAATTCTAAAAATAAAAATAAAAAAGTAAATCCTGTTTTGATATCTTCAGAAGGTCTAACTTACTTTTTAATTTATTATTCCAGTTAAAAAAAACTTTTTAGATGAGTTCAACTTACGGTAGCGAGCATAGTTTTAATCACCGGTTTTGCTAGTGGGGCATAATTGGGGCTATTCCGGCTATAACAAAATTTTTTAAAGGTACATAATTGTAATTATTATTTTAAAAGATGTTCATAAAACATTTAATCACTAGTTGATTAAAAAAAGTATACCATTAATATTGCAAATTATATTTTACCCTCTCATCATAGTATATGTCTATTTAAACTTTTGATTATGTAACGAGCAATTTGTTTACTCACTTGTTTCGTCGAACCGCTTGAATTCATTTTTGCCTTTGATCAAATCGGTGTGAGAAACTATGAAGCTATAAAATGTTGTTTCGGGAGAGTTGAATATCCGGGTAAGTTGAATTATTGAATGTTATTGCACCCATCAACGCCCTGATTACGCGTTAACATTTTTTCGGCAATTTTATTAACATTTGAAATTGTCACAACACAACACGACGCCTAGGTCGAATTCTTTTTCCCTTATTTTTTGCTACCCGAAACAGCGTTACATCACACAAACCTCGTACCTGATGAGTGTTTTATAGTATGATAGTATCAATAACTGTACTAGCAAAACACTAAAATACCTAAATATTATCACAAAGTCACGATTTCAATATTATTTTAATGCGATCAACATAACGGCGCGGCGGCGTGAAATAAGTACTGATAACTTCTAATTTTTGCCGTTGAAGCGGTGCGGTCGGAATTTGTTGAAATCAACTGGAATGCACTAAGGCACCAAGCCTATAGATCTATAAGGTCGCGGTGATCCCATACGATCCTCTTGTTGAACAGGGAAAGTATAATAACTGTTTGTGTATTTAAAATGGGCATTTTTGAAGAGATTTTTATAAGGATACCAAACTAATTAACGCCGCCGCTGTCCCCTAAAGGTAAGCGCACATTTATTCGCATCGGACGGACGTATCGGACACACGGAACGGATGAAAATTATTATTTGCTTTATTTTAAATGACATAACGCATATACATACGTATCGGACGCATCGTAGACACGGAAATCCGTTCAGAATAATTAGAAAAGAATTAAATCCGTATATACGATGCGTGCGGATGACGTCATTTGTAAATTCGATCAAATGCGCGATGTAAACAGGAATCGACTTGCAGAATGTGATTGTCGTCTCTAAATGTTTCTATTGGAAACATTTTGCTTCATCTCATATCAAGTCATCAAACAAGGTATGAAATTCTCCAAACAATTTCCTCTTCATACATATGGACCCAAATTCGTTTTTTTTTCTTGTTCCTTTGCTCTTCCTCTTCAAATGCACATGCAATTGCAAATAATTCTTCATCAGAACTACTACTCATTTTAAATTTCGGAAGCGAACGTGAAAAACAGAAATTTCGTATTAGCCCGCTTCGAGGATTGCACTAAAATGAAAATGCGGCAAGAAAATCCGAATATAATATGCGATGATAACAAATATATTGCGATTCGTCCGATGCGTCCGCTGCGTCCGGTGCGAACAAATGCGCGCTTACCTTAACAGCCCGCTCGACCCTCCGCCAGATCCGCGCGCGCCCGCCACTTGGCGGGATAAAATCCCCGATAGGCGGCGCCAAAGGCGGGACTTTGGACTCCACCGACGCCGAACGTCGCGCTAAACCCGTCCCCGTCGTCACGTGACCGTGGCGTAACGAACGCGAGCGGCGTCCCGCCGTGCCGTAGCTAATCTGGCGCTCGGCGCTCGCAACGTCAATTCGCTAACCGAAACCGTTCGAAAAAGAGAGAAGAAAAGAAAACGATACGCGAGGCAAAGGAAAAAATTGGCTGGCTGACTGTGTTTAGACTTGGAAAAAGCTTCACTATGTAAACACGGTGACAGCTTTGCCACCTCGCCATCATAGTGTGCCGTCGTCGTATAAATCAAGCGGGAATAGTAATAATTGTATTTTTGTTTTGTTTCGAAAGGATCGAAGTTGGCGACGACGCGTAAATAAACAATTTGTTTTATCATTTTTTCCGTGGTTTTGAGGCGGGCGTGATTTATGTGAGTCGTTGTCGGTTGTGGTGACAGTGATTTTTCAAAATTTCCGAGATTGTTTTGAGTTTCGACGAGTCAAAATGAACGAATTACCGGTGGCGCTGAACTTTACCGACCGTCCTGATAACAATAATATCCATCCACACATTCTGACATCGGTAAGTTGTTAATTAATTTGGTAGATATTGTCTAAAAGTGATCCAATTGTTGAGATTATTTCAAAAAACATTTTGAATGAAATGTCATCGTTTTATCTTAAATAGATATATAGATGCATATAAATTTAACAAGGAAAAACTGGGTAAGTTTTGATTTTGACAAAGTCAAGTGACCATTTTCAGTTGAATTTTATTTTCGCATGTACCTACAATAAATACATATTGTCTCGTCAAGTACGGTTGAAAAATATTGATTTTTTAAAAACATCAATACCTATACAGGGTGCTACAAATTAGGTATCGAGGTACGAGCATTGGTATCTCGGTAACCGTAATAGATACGAACCTGGTTAAATTGGGACAAAGCTGCCGTATTGGGATCTTCACCAAGATGCCATCAAAAAAGATTTAAAAATTTCAAGGATTGCTGAGTTTTTGGAAAAACTGATTTTTTTGAAAATTAATTTTATTTATTCCTGTCGTTATTTTATAGAAAATCAAAAAACTAATTACACATTCTCATAGCCACTTTATTAGGACTATCTAATAGTATTTTTAGATTTTCAAATTAGCTGACAATTTGTGAGATACAGAGACCAACTTAATTTTTTTAAATACGGACCTGCATTTTTTATTTCAGGTTTTGAAAGAACTCGCTCTCCTGAATACAATGATATGCCACACTTTATACTTTTTTTTGTTTTGGATACCTTAACGCAGCATCAGTTGATTTAAAACTTTACCACCTTGGTTTCAACCATATCGTAATGAGCTATTTAGTATTTACGCACCCATTTAAAAAATAGATAGCAATCAATGTACCTATCTAATAAAGTAAAAAGATTTGACGGGGCCTACTTTGTTTACGCGGAATCCGAACCGCGGTCCTCGGCCATATCATGATCAATAGCCTACCGACTTGCCTAAATCGACTCTTACTCACGAGATATCCGATCTCATCCGGCCTCGAACCGGCGGGAATGAGCAGTGTGTGTCAAAAGATTTTACACTTTTGCCTTTTATTGGACAACAGCACGATACAGAGTTTCGAACCGGTCACCCGTCCATCCACTAGTATCGCCTTACGTCGCTTAACTTCGGTGTTCTAATGGGAACCGGTGTTTCGACGTAGCTGAGCCGTTGCCCTCCTATCTAATAAAATAATGCCCAAAAAAATGTTTATTAATATGGAAAGGGCACGTTTACAAACGCATTTTTTTCTTTTCTAAATTTATTTTACATCAAGTATTGTTTAATGCTCTGACCAATAAGTCAACATAGAGAATAGAAGCTCTAACTAATATTTTTAATTTGTAATCAATGACAGTAATTAGTCTGTCCAACTAGCCAGAACAGATTTCAACAGGTGGCATTCAAAAGATGATAAAAATACCGTATGATCGAAAAAACGGCGTACAGTTGGCTTGGAAATACACTTTCCTATACAATTTTCCATATAAAATGATAGCGACCTTCATTTCCGAGCCATCTCTGGCGCTTTTTCTCGATCGTATTGTACAATTCACCTGTGAATTAAAATGGCAGACACTGTCATGGCTTTCATGGGTCGTCTCGTTGGACATACTTTCTCACTATATAGATATAGATAATGTAAAACGAACTGCATAAAAATGAATTTGAAAAACTTGGAAAATAGAAGAGAGTTGATAATTCTGTTGTAAGATGATTTTTTTAAAAGAAATGAATTGTGAAAAGTCTAAAAAGTTTACTACTTTATTTTTCAAATTTAGCCATAAAAAAATACCTTGGCATTTTCTAGCATTATCAAGTAAAGTTTGTCCATCGAGAGGTTCCACGACAATGACAGTTTTCCTGTCACTTTACTTCACTGGTAAATTGTATTTTGTCTCATTTTTAGGATATCGTCTATACAAGTTTCCTCCTTACTCCTTGCTATATTCTTTGGTATTCTCTGACTCGTTGGTCAGACAAAGCAAGTGAGATATCTCGCTTCTACTGAATTCTGAATAAATAATAAATTTTACTTTAGATTAAATAACTAAAAGATATATCAATCCAGTATAATAATATGGTACAAATATAATGGTACGACGGAGTTTTCACCACCCTTCCGAACTCTTAACTCACCCACCGTCGCTTAACTTAACTTAACGGGAACAGGTGTAAACGCAACTTGAAACTTGACCCATTACATATAGAACATAGATTCTATATGTATATTATGACTATCATAAAATAAAAATTATTTAAATTATATTCGGAAAATTTTTATTTAGAAATAAATCTAATTAAAATTAAAATTCTAATTATTTTTACTTATATTTTTCTGTAATATGCATTTTCTATATTAAAACGCCAAAAATTACCCATTGTGTACTCATTATATTTAATGAATTCACGACCAGCTGGGGTCATTTCAGTTCACTAACTAATTTACGCGAATCAAATGAAAAAAAATGCTTATGCAGAAGTTCAACAACCCAAAGTACATCTTCAACGTTTTCCCATCAGGTGTTCTATTAAAAATAGTACCTAGCTTAGTGCCGCCTTGCAAAAATTCTAGAAAGTATTTCTATACGGCACTTTAGCAATTTGAAATTCTAGGAAAGAATATTCCATATAATATTTTTATTATCTAAAAGAACGCTTTTTTAAAAGGAATCTATTATCATGGTTAATAGAAAGAATCGTTTATATGCATCATGTTTATACTGTGACTACCATCATGGGGGCTAATTACAAAAAAGCAATTTGTCAGTGGATTTTTACTTCTTGTAAGACAAATTTGCTTAAAGAATGAAATAATGGTTAACCTTTCAGAAGGTATATCTCTTATACTTCTTAAACTTCTTCGTCAGAAGCAAAAACATAGAGAATAAAGAAAATATTATCAGATAGCAGGTAACAGGTAACTCTCAATTAGGCCAAAAATAAAGTTGTTCTACTCTGGGTGCCATCTCAGTACACCAAAGTATAGACGGTTATGAAAAAGCAAACGCTCAAGCTAGAAAAGGAGCGAATATTCCACTAACTGGATCAGAACCGTTCTGCTTCCCAAGTGGAAACCAGCTTAAAGCAGAACTACCTGGAAGTCTCCATCCGTAACCTGCAACCTGCAACGGTCTAAGATACTCGAAGACATTTCTTAAGACTTACCACCGAGCAAAAACAAAGTTTTTCTTGATTTAAGGAAGAATCTAAGGGGACTTCAAGTTAGTCTAAAAAAATGGAATATTTAGCTGTCAATTCCAACGCTTGTTTTGAAGTCTTCAATGATGATAACGTCCAGATTCAACAAGTACACAATTTAAATACCTGGATGCTACTATCAACAATCAACAACGAGGGTTTGGCGAGGGGTAATTCGCTATGGAATTTGGTGTACACGGAGTTGGAATTTTTTGGAATTTTTGGGAATTTTTGGGATTTTTTGGAATTTTTTGGAATTTTTGAGAAAAAATTCCATTTGGTGTACACGATTCGAGCAGCGGTTTACCCCTCGGGGTTTGGGCAAAGAAGAAAATTCAAACCCGAATTCAGAAGAGCAAACAAGTTATTGGATGTCTTAATAGTCTCTGGTGGGACCGAAACTGGTCTGCACAAATAAAAAGCGACTTGGACGAACATTGGTGGAGTCAGTTCTTTGCTATGGTTCAGAGCTATCAAGCTATGGACTCTGAATGCAGATACGAAGCGCAAAATCCAAGTTGTTGAAATGGACTACCTTAGAAGAAGCGCAGGTATATCTAGGATGAAAAAAAAAGACAAACATCGAGGTCAGGCGTATCATGAATTGATCGGAGGAAACGTTATAAACTGTACTATATCGAATCGAAAAATCGAATCGAATGGTTTGGACATGTTCTGCGTATGCCGGAGAACAGGTGGCCAAATAAAGTTTTTCAATGAGTTCCCCAGGGTAGGAAAAAGAGAGGCAACCTAGAAAATCCCGGAACGGTTAAGGAAGCAATGGAAGCTCGTAACCTAGAAGCTGATAATGACGCACTAAATCGAGGCGTGTGGCGTAGGAGGGTAACGGGAAGGCAGCAATAGGCGTTAGTTGGAAATAAGTATCTAATACTTACACCAAATCCGGTTTATATCTGTATAACAACAGAGCACTATCTCCTCAATGAACCCCTCAGTAGATTCAAGCTCAGAAACAACGGCGAATGCAGATTCTGTAAGAAAAATGGGGAAACACCAGAACACCTCCCCACTGAGTGCGCCGAGACCACAACCATAAACTTTGGTACGATGGATATCGAAGATGGAGAACTAACCTCTATAAAACCGTCTCAAATACTGGCTTTTAACTTAGTTCAACAACTATTCAACATAATATGATTGAACATTAAAATGCGTTTCAATTATCTCCTGATGATGCTAACACGGTTAGCGAAACGTATGTTTAGAGTAATAAAATATTATTTTGGAAAACAATACTTTTATTTTTATGAGGAAACACATCTATTTTATTTACTATTTTTTGTTTATTGTTTTTATTTTAAAACATCAGGCAGCCGGCTAGCTTATTTTATAAACTTAGTAATTAATTTCCAATAAAACTCAAAACAAGGGGAAACGAGATAGTTTGTTTGTTTTCAGTTGAAATACTAAATATTTATAATTTAAAATTATACATTATTTAAATTATTGGTTTTCGGCTGTTTACAGCGAGAAAGAAACGCCATTCGTAATAAAAATCGATTAAATATATGAGTTTCAGAAATTTATTTAATTTTTTTTATTAACTAAAATTATTATTTTTTTTTCAACAAAAGTAAAAGTAGGAAGTAGAAAGAATTTCTATAATAGTCACACCTTTTACAGCTATTCTAAATTTATCTGTATACTTACAGATATCAACAGATATTCTATAATTTAAACTTACAAATAGGTATATCCTTACCTGTAGACGATGCCGATGGTAATAGAATATAAAAAGATACTTTTTATATACAGGGTGTCGTAGAAATAAATGCAAGTATTTTAAGTGGTGGTAGATCTCGATAAAA